CTTGGATGACCAAATACCCTCAGACTCAAATATCCAACTTCTATAGGAGTGCATCTGACCATGGTGCTCTTCTTCTTGATGACAAAGTGAACTCAATCAAAAAAGGCAGAAGATTTATGTTTGACAAAAGATGGCTCAAAAGAGAAGGCTGCAAAGAAAAGTTCTTAAAGCTTGGTCTCTGCTGAAACTTCGTTTTTCCAAAGATTGAAAGCCTGATTGCAACTTGGCACTCCTTTCTTCAAGCTGAAAGAACAAATCGAGCATACCAGAATGGCTCTATCCAAATGGAGCAAGTTAATCAGATCTCAACACAAGCAGCAGGTAGACACTCTCACTCTGAAACTTGAGGAAATGAGAAAGCTGGGAGAAGGGAAAAATTGGGAAGAATGAGAATCACTCAAAAAGGAACTAGAATTAGCTCAAACTACTGAAGAAAGCTATTGACAGCAAAAGTCCAGAGTCATATGGCTTAAAGAAGGAGATCACAACACCACCTTTTTCCATGCTTATGCCATGCAAAGAAGGAAGAGGAATGCCATTTCCAGGTTGATATTAGCTGATCACAGGTGTTGTGAAACCAAGAAAGAAATTGCCTCAGAAATTAATAACTACTACAAGAAACTCTTCACAACTGAGAGATCCCAAGGATCTTCAGAACTCACTCATAATATCACAAGATCCATTTCAGCTGAGATGAATGGAGAAGTTTCTCTCTACCATCACTGAGGAAGAAATCAAAAAGGCCCTTTTTTTAGATGAATCCCCTTAAAGCTCCTGGAGAGGATGGGATGACCCCACTGTTTTCTCAACATTTCTGGCCAACTATCAAAGATGACCTTTGTGCAGCTGTGCTAAGTTTCTTCTTAGTAAGAGAACTCTTGAAGTACTGGAATCACACCTTGGTCACTCTGGTGCCTAACTCAAGTCACTACGATAAATGTCTTTATCCTAGGTCCATAACTCAATTCAGACCTATAAGTCTCTGTGGGGTTGTTTACAAAATAATCTCCAAGATCCTTGCTTCCAGACTCAAAGAGTGCCTCAATTGTTGCATTAGCCAATCTCAAGGTGCCTTTCCCCTGGAAGAAATATTTGGACAATATCATTATAGCTCAGGAAGCGCTTCATGGCCCTTAAACTAGACATGTTGAAAGCCTTTGACAGGGTGGAATGGAGCTGCATCAGAGACATCATGCTTAAAATGGGGTTTGATTCATCTTTCATGAAATGGATTCTTGTCTGTATTTCTACAACCTCTTTCTATTTTCTAGTCAATGGTGAAGCTGTGGGCTACTTGAACCCCTCTAGGGGGTTGAGACAGGGAGACCCCCTCTCCCGATACCTATTTCTCATTGTCTCATAAGCTTTCTCTACACTCATCCACTCAGCTATGATTTCTGGTTTATTCAAAGGCTTGAGACTTGCTAGAGGTGGCCCCACCCTTTCTCACTTGCACTTTGTACACTTGCACTTTGTAGATTACTCCTTAGTCTTCTGCAAGGTTGAAGCCAACCAAGCCATCCACCTCAAAGAAATCCTCAGTAAATATCAACTATCCTCAGGCCAACAAGTTAATATGTCAAAATCTTCGGTCTTCTTCAGCAAGAATACCCCTTCTCATGTCGAAGCTAGCATTTGCCATATTCTGGAAGGAATATCCCCTCACACTTCTACCAGATATCTTGGTTTACCATTAGGAATTGACAAATCAAAAAAAGAGGCTTTTGACTTTATCCTGCAAGCTGCTAGAAACAAGCTGATAAACTGGAAGAACATGCACCTATCTATAGCTGGCAAAAAGTCCTTGTTAAGGCTGTTCTGAACTCCCTACCTGCTTATGTCATGTCTTACTTGAGACTCCCAGTTGGCACTTGTAAAAACCTTGCTCAAATAACAACTCATTTCTGGTGGTGTAAAGGGACTGAGGTGGATAAATGGCTTCATTGGAAAAGCTAAAATTTCCTATCTATTCTTAAAAAGAATGGGAAATTAGGCTTTCAAGACTACATCTTATTCAATGAAGAACTTATCTTCAAACAACTTTGGAGAATCTCCACCCAACCTCAGCTTATGGTTAGTCAAATTCTCAAAACCCTCTATTTTCCTAATACCCCAATCTTTGATGCAAAGAAGAAACAATCTGCCTCTTGGATGTGGAACAATTGGCTTGCATTGCTTTCTAAATTTTCTCAAGGAATCTAGAAAGAAATCAGGGGAGGTCTCCAAACCAAACTGCAAGATCATGGCTGAGTTCCTGACCTTGGCATAAAACCCCCTAAACTCATTAATCTACATCAAAACCTGGTATATGTCAGTGACCTCCTTAATGCAAATGGGACTACCTGGAACTAGGGATGCAAATGAGTCGAGCCGAGTCGAGCATTGACCTTATCGAGCAGGATTGGAAATTTTTTTTTACTTCTCAAGCTCGAGCTCGAGCTCGACTCGAATTCAACATGCTCGAGCTCGGCTCGAGTTCAGTTTGAACTTTTTCAAGCAATTTTATAAAATAACAATTAAATACATATATATATATATAAGGGCATTTTAGTAATTTTATATATCTCGAGCCGCTCGCGAGCTGCTCGACAATGTAAAATATAGGCTCAAGCTCGGCTCGAGTTCGTGCTCGAGCTGCTCGAGATCGACTCGAGTTCAGTCAAACTCGAGCTCGAGCGAGCTTTGACTCGAGCGCTCGCGAGCTGCTCGACTCGTTTGCAGCCCTACCTGGAACAATGAGATTATTAATGAGGTGTTCTCAGAAGAGGATGGCAAAGCCATTCTGAAAATTATAACTCTTGCTACAGTGTTTGATGACAGATGGAGATGGAGGTTTGACTCAAAAGGTCTCTTCTCAGTTGCTGCCTCATATTTTCACTTAATAGAAATGAAGCTGAGCTCTATTGATCTTGCTGAAGGCAGTAACTCTAACAAGGTGTACATCACAGTGAGACAAAGAACTTGGAAACTCAAGGTCAAAGGCAAACTCAAACATTTTATCTGGAAGTGTTTCACAGACACCCTTCCTGTGTGTGTTAACCTCAGGAAAAAAAAGGTCTTGTCATTGACACCATATGCCAGCAGTGTGGTGATGTTGAAGAAACTATTGAACATGCCCTGCTATGCTACCCCAAAGCTCAACAAGTATGGAAGCTATCTCCCTTATAATGGGATGACATTCCTATAAAAGGCTGTAACTTCAAGAATTGGTGGTGGCAAGTGTGTTCTACCAGCAAACCAAAAACCTCAGAGGATAGGATTCAACTCTCAACATACATTCTCTGGTAGTTATAGAGATCGAAGAACTTTTGGATCTTCACCAAAGAGAATATCTTGCCAGAGTCACAGCCAACAGAGCTCTTCTGGAATGGCAGAAATACAACAATATTTGTTCTGGTCTTTAGCTTGTTGTTGTATTTGCTTGGGTCTGTGTGGTGTTGTTGTCATTTGGCTCTAGTATGTTTTTTCTTTGTGCGGGTTGTGTTTTTTCAGGTTGGTGTTTGTGTTGTCTGTTTTAGCTAGGTCTAGTTGTAGTTTGGTGGTTTTAGAGTTGGTATTTTCTAGTCGTAGACTAGCTTCTAGCTCTTGCAATGGGGTTTATTCTAGCACACTCTCATAGTGTTGCTCTTGGGAGCTCATTCCCTTGTTCGGCGTCCGAGGAGGTCGGCAGTACATTCAACCGGTCAGGAGGCCAGCCTCGGAGGCTGTGTTAGATGTTCCCCTTATTGACTTTCTTTGTTGGTCAGCTCAGCACCTCGCATTTACTTGCTGACCGGCCCGGGTTGTAAGATCGTCTCCCCTCGGTCCCTTGTCCGAAGAACCGGGAATCCTAGGCCAACCCAACTCGGGTATCGACAAATATTTTATTAGAATGATGTTTATAGTCTTTGGATTCAAATCAATAAGTGAATCATTTTGATGGGTTAGTGTGTTGATTTATTGGACTGGGCTAGAAATACAATACATTTTTTTCAAATTTATAGTTGTTAAAAAAAAAAGGTCTGGGCTGGGCTAGCTGCATCCCTCCCTGATCGCCAGGACCCACGTAGGTCATCTCTGATACCATGAAATAAACGGGAGAAATTGGTGCGGTCCCATGCACGTGAAACTCGCCATAATAGGGTGAGCCTAGATGTGTTGATGTTCCATCCCAAAACCAACTGGTGGAAGAAATAGCCCAATAGGCTTATAAACAACTCACAAGTGATATTCTAATACGCCCTCTCACTTGTGAATCCTTCATACGAATTCCAAGCCCACAGAGCAGGCCAATTAATGGGTACGTCATCGCAGGACTGATGTAGGTCTGCTTTGATACCATGTAAGAATCAAGGGAGGCCGGGTAACGGGGTACGTCAACGAATGACTCATGTAGGACTGCTTTGATGCCATGTAAGAATCAGGGGAGGGCTTTGATACCATATAATAAGAATCAGGGGAAAAGGTGTGGTATCATACACGTGAAGCACATCATAACACAGTGAGCGTATATGCACCTTAATAAAGTTCTATCTCAAAATTAATTGGTGGTAGAGTAACTCACTAGACTTATAAGTTATGTTTGTTTTCCCTACTTTAAAAGCGAAAAAAATGCTAAAACAATCATTTGAAATGCTAGGCCATTCATCCCTTTGAGATCCAAAACATAAATCAAAAGATTTTTTAAGAAAGGGAAATCATTGTGCCCATTGAAAAATGCAATACTAGCTCTTGATATCGAGGATATTGGTTAAAGCACACACGCTTGTCACCATAACAAAAAAATATAATTGAATATCTATTGGAGCGACATCTCAAAGAAATACAAGACATAAGATCAGTACAACGATTAGGAGCCGTACACTAACACACTCGAGAGAAGAGATACATGGATAATTTTGTTGTGCATAAGAAGGAAGCATATTTGGTATACGAGAAATGAATCGAAAGAACAGTAAACGAATAGAAATGGCCGGCCACGAGCATCACATCAAATGGAACCAAATACCAATCAATTTTCCTCAACTTGTAAGGGCTTTTGAAGTAGCCACCTTCACAGCCTCAGCATACGTCCTGTGTTGGTAGGTCAAAGTCGACTCGAGCAAGTCCCAGAGAGAGGTCTTTGGATTCCATCCTGTAAAGGCAATTCAATAGAAAGAAACCATTAACATTTGCTTAAAACATAATGGGATAAATTACAAAAGCTCCCATAAGATTTATTAGCTTCACACAATTAAGACATTAGTTTCCCTTCACAATTATTGCCCATCAAAAACTTTCAAGGGAATATTAGTGATTTCAGGACATAAATTTGTGAAAATAGCGACTCTTTACCAAGTTGTTTGTTGATAATGGTCATATCTGGAATTCTCTTGTCACTGTCATCATATCCTTCGCCATAGAATTCTTTCGAGCTTATGTCAATGGTCGGTGTATCCAGTGCAGGTTCGTCGCTAACCTTAGCGTAGACCTGAAAGCAAGTCAACAAAGAGGAAAAGAATCAGCAACCACTAGCAATATATATGATCGAAAATCGACCACAGATATAAAGGCGATTACAAAAAACTGAAATTACCTCAGTCATCATCTCAGCAAGCTGCCTGACTGTGACTTCATTATTCGGATTGCCCACATTGAATATGTGGCCATTAGCCCTGGCTGGATTTTCCTGAGAAAAGTTGAACCACTTAGCAACAATTACAAAGATTATAAAAAAATAGAAGATGATTAAAGTGAGAACCAATAATCGCACATACAATCATCAAAAGAACAGCTTCAATTGCATCCTTGATGTAAATGAAAGTTCTTTGGGATTCACCACCATCGACAAGTTTTAGCGGTTCACGCCTCAAGAGATTCTATACAGATCAGCAAATTTACAAAATAAGATGGGCTGAAATCTTTGTACATGGTCATCAAATTCAGTGGATCATATAGAATTACATTACTAAAGCAGGCCAAAACTCTTGGAACACCCTCGCTTGGGCCATCAATTCCAGGTATGAAGTCCATCCTGGGACCAATCCAGTTGAAAGGCCTCACGATTGTGAATTCAAGACCATTCTCAGCACCCTCGGCTATACAATACAACAGTTATGACAACACAAACTGCATTAGACTCTGAAACTGCAAATTTATGTGGCAGGTAAACAAAAGAGAAAGCTCACCATAAATCAATCTCTCAATTAACTGCTTTGCACATGCATACGACCATCTCTGCTTCTCAATTGAGCCAAAAATGCAAGGGGAGATGTCCTCCTTAAGAACATAGTAATTTGGGTCCTGATATAAGATGATAGTTATGATTCAGATTAGTGATGGAAAAGTAATCAACCCAATTAAGGGGTATTATCCCTGCCTTAAACAATAGAAAGGCAACCAAATTGAATTCATTGAGTTGCAAATAGAGGCATATACCAAATGTGACAACAATAATAGAAATATTATCAAGAGAAAACAACAGGTATTTTTTTTTTACGATTAGCATTCAGTATACATTATATACAAGAACAACAAACTCCCACAGTGTTTTTCTCATGTCTACCCTTTACTAAAAAAGATAAAAAGTCATGACATAAAAGAATAAATCCCTTTCCTCAATCAAACTTGGTCAGTTTTGAGAGGGAAAAGTCATGAGGTAGATCTACTAATAAATGTTGAGAAATATGAGCAAAAGCGTGTCAATTCACCATGAAAAAACCATGGTAGTTGTGGTATAAAAAGAGGATAGACGGGCTACTTAAGATCCACATGGAAAATACACCCAATATCAATTTTTTTTATACAGAATAAAACAAGATGGATTATGTATTATTTAACACACAAAATAAAAAAAAGTTCAAAATAAATAAGGCAGGCATTGACAAATATTGCATCAGATCAACAACACAGCACAACTGTTTAATTTAGTAAAGCAAAGGGAAATGAGATAGATACTTACTTGCCGCAGAGGGCTATCTTTGGGTAAGAAGCTGCCAATTGTTTTACCATAAACTTCACAAGTGGAGAAATGTATGAGGCGCTTTCCGTTTTCTGAACAGTATTTAACCTAAATCCATGAAAAGTCAAATTAATTTCAGCAACCATCAACAGTAAATAACTAATTCGAACAAGCCATAAATTCAAATTAATGAAAAATCTATGAAGAGAATGTGAAAGCAACAAACTTACCACAGGGAGAGCATCGATGAAATTGCTGTAGATTGTGTCTAGAGGACGTGTGTTATAGTCTGCTGGAGTGCATATTGCAGCAAGATTTATGGTCTGAATCACAAGAAAAATCGAAGAGTCAGTCCAAGTCAAAAGTTACACTCATAATGGTTTAACATAGTATCAAAACCACCAAGTCATTATTACAGGAAGAACATAGCTAAAACAGTTTGGAGATTAACATTAGAATCACAGACGATGAAGGTGATGCAGAAAAAGAACATAGAAATATGATGGAGTATCACTTGTGAGTTGTCCCACATTGATTCTATAGGGAAAATGAGCCTAGTATATAAGCCAAGTGGGCTACTACTCCCATCACCAATTGGTTTTGGGATGGAACCTCACTATGGTGCACCTAGGCTCACCCTCATATGGTGCACTTAATATGCGTGTGGGACCGCCCCCTCTTGCCCCGATTCTCCACATACATTACCCACATACATTGCAAAATACAACAGATATTGAAAAATAAACTTAAATCAAGATAGTTATAGTAGCCAAAGTTAAATTGTCGGTTTAGATCTAATGCATATCCAAAACCAATAACAATAATAATGATCTAAAGAAACTCCAGATTAAGAAATATATACAGAACAAATCGATGTTCAAATTCAAAATGCAATTATGACTTCAGAAGATCTTCACGAATCAAAAAACTTAATGTCAGGAAGCAACATTCTAACCATATGGAAGAACACAAGGGATAACCCCAAAAAAAAAACAAATTAAGCAACTCAAATAAGCACAATATCCAGATCCAGACCCTAATGACAGACAAACCAAAACCAATAACCACAAAAAAAAAATAAAGAAAACGCAGACAATAAACAGAGAATTGCGAGGAAACCTACAAGATCCGCCATGCGGATGAGACCTTCGAGGCGAGAGTCGTTCTTAATGTTCAGGCGGTGAAACTGGATGCGATCGCCCCAGGACGATGAGGAGGGGTCAAGAAGGTGGTTGATCTTGTCACTGTAAACATCGACGGCCAAGACCTTGTGCGGCGTCTCCGCCATCAGCTTCTCGCAGAGGTGAGACCCGATGAAACCGCCGGCGCCGATCATGCATATCGTGATCGGCTTAATCGGATTCCCGTCCAGATCTAGTCTTCCAGTCGCCGCCATTTTCCGGATGCTAAAAACAAGAAGTACCACCAGTTGAGAATTTCGCCGATATAGCTTATTATTCTTCCCAAATGTGGAGCTAATTTTGAGGGGATTTTAGGTATGGTGGTGGAAAATAAAATGTGACTGTATTTAAAGCCGGAAAAGGGAGGGAGGAGGTTCGTTCACAGGCATCTCATTGGATTTGGCCCTCCTACTGAGCTGAGTACAACCTTCTCATTTTCTTAAAGCCGCGTGTGTTTTTTCTACTCGCAGATGTAGGGGACTGGCACCCACTCGCTGCATTGTTTATAATGTCTCCCTGTATATTAATTCAAAACGTGTTGAGTTAGATGGCAGATTCTCACGCTTCGAATGTTGGCATAGCGAAAATCTATGTTTCGTGATGTTTTTATATTATTTTTGCTCTGAAATTAGGTTTGATATTAGACATAAATAACTTTACACATATATTCATTAATCTCAACACGCATGTTGTACATGGGTATTAATAGTAGTCATTTTGAATTAAGATCAAATTAAGGGTCATGACATGTAGACTTTAAATTCTCAATGCCCTTTTCACTTTACTTGTTAGTCTGTACTGGCATTTTTTTAATGCTCAAATATCGTTATGGTAAATTATATTCTACCTTAACATATTTAGAACAACTTTTCATCTTCCCATACACTATTTATTTTGAATGCCTATATGACACAATATTTATTTTGAATTTGTAATAAATATTTGTTAATTAATTACATAACTAAAAAATAGTAATGTATATTCAATTTTTGTCATTATATTATATATATATGTATAAGAATACTATATAAGTGTTATAAATAATAATAATAATGACATTATAAGACAATAAATCTAGAAAAAAATAATAGTTGAATATTATAATTAACAAAAATAAAAAAAATATTCTATAAAATTAAATATAAATATTAAAATATTATTTATTAATATAAACAGTTAGTAAGGTACAATATATCGTTAAAATAAATAAATAAATAAAGATTTTAAGAAAGAGACCCCCCGTGCAATACTCACTAGTTTAGAGCATCTCCAATGGTCTTCCCTTTCTCTATTTTGTTGCCACATGTCACAATTAATCTTATGTGGCTTGAAAAAATTCTAGAAGGCTTTTAGATGTAGAAGCCTTTCTAGACAACTTTTTTTGTATATTAGAATATTTATTTAATTTATTTTTCTTCTTCAACCAATTAAAATTCAACACATCACAAATAAAATCATAATTAACATTTATCATTGGAGACATAATTTTTTAACTTCCATTCTCCATGTCATACAACCCAAAATGGATAATCATCTATTGGAGATGCTCTTATTCAACGAGGTGACGGTTTAAATGTAAAGGCGGGGTCATCTTTTTGGAGACTAAACTGTTATTATTTTAACTTTTTAATATTTAAAATCTGATCAAACTGATTTACAAATAGAATTAATATAAACAAATCAAGACTGGTTTAAGTTTAACTTTATTTAATTTGATTCATTTATTTCTTCATGGAAATTAAGACAGATTTTTTCATGGAGCTAAACATTTGGTTAAAATTTTGATCGGTTAAGACGTGACATCTTTAAATTTTAGCCAAACATTTATCAAATAATTTTATATAGAGTTTAGACGTTTTGCTATATTAGTATATTATCATGACATCTTTAAATTTTAGATGAAAAATTGATTATACAGAATTGAGCAGCTTTGCGATAGCGGATTGTTTGGTAAATAGTTGAAATCTTATAGCTGTTTGACATTGCTAAATGACCAATAAGGACATTTTATTATTTAGAGTGTATTCTTTTAATAATAATATATTAAAACATAATATTCTTAAGTTGGTAATTTATAATTTTTTTTTTTAATTTACTAACACTTGATGAAGAAATTATTAATTTAACATTTTTCTAGATAAATTAATCATATGGATGACATATTATTATTTATTAGCACCATAAACCAATGTAGATTGTAAAAAAAAAATACAAATTAAAAAGTTCCAAATAAATATTTTTTGTGAATCCTCTATCCCAAAAAGCTGGTCTAATGAGCTTTTTCTAAATTAGAGTTTTGGGCTCAAAAAGCTTATCAAATAAGCTATTTACCAAACATGCTCAATAGCGGATTTTACGGGTCAAACCTCTCAATTAAGTCCAATCCGCTAATTTATATTCAATCCTCTATCTTCCAAATGGGGTCATTGTAAGTTTTCAAACGAGTCCTCCCACCCATAAATACTTTTTCTCTCTCCAAAAGTAAAAAGCCCTAAATTGCATCTTCGATCAGTGCTTATGTCAACGATATTTTACATTTCGCCGATTACTTTGCCTTCCCCGATGGGGCCGCCGGTCTCCTCGACGGTGGCTGGTTCCTAGCTTGCGGCACGTCCTCTATTAGGTATCGGATCCCATCTTCGCGAGCAGTTGTGGAGTCGGTCGGTCTTGAGTGGTCTTCAGCGGATTAGGGCTGCCATCCCGAGACAAAATCGTCGGCTTCCATGGCGGCGAGGTGGAGGAAGGCTTGCGGTGTTCTTCGGGGGAGGGTTGCGGCTCTGATTGCCGTGTTGGTCGTCGAGGCGGAGGGTGGAGGATGCCTACTCTACGGTTCTTTTTTTTCCCTGATGTTAGGGAAGAAGAGTCGGCCGTTGTGCCAGGCCCGGCCGTGGTGTGGCTCGGTTTGGGGTGGTGGTTGTGTGGTGAGGGGTGGGACTATTCGTCTGACCTCCAGCTGAGGGGCTATGGTCGGCCGCCAAGGTGCAGGTCGTGGTTTTGGTGTTTTGATTCTAGTTAGGTTGTGAATGGAAGTTTATGGTATTGAAACTCAGGCCGGTTGGAGGTCGATCGTGGTGTTGCCATTGGGTTTTGACTGGTGTGTTAATTCGTTCGTGGGAAGGTCTTTTTCTTTGTTTTTGTGTTTTTGGGTTTGTGTTTTGTGTTCTGATGTGTTTTTTTGTGTTTTTCTTTTCATTTGTTAGTGTAATTATCCCGTTGAGATCTAGATTCTCCTGCTGGGAGTTACGTATATTCATGTTGGGAGTTAGGATTTATTATCCTTTGTGGGATCTAGATTCTCCTGTTGGGAGTTTGTTTTATTATCGTGGGTGTGTTGTGGTGTTTAGGCTCTTTCTGGTGTCCTCTCACTAGATTCGGCTTCTGACTGTTCTCTATTTGTAGTTTTATGTGTTACTTATGAAATTTCCTATCGTTCCGTAAAAAAAAACACTTATTATAAATTTTAATTTTGCCTAAGAAGATTTCATAACTGCTTAAATTTTAAAGAAAGTTTTCATATCAAAATATCCCCTCATGATCATTTTCGACAATTTTTTTGTCAAGTTAAAGGGAAATATAGAGCAGCTCCTCATTTATGTGTTCCATGGTCCATTTTCTTGCACTCCACTCAAAAATCACTTATTATAAATTTAAATTTTAATTTTGCCTAAGAAGTTTTCATAACTGCTTAAATTTTAAAGGAGTTTTCATATAATTATCACCTAATTATCATTTGACATGCAAGTTCTTAAATCAACTAATTAACACAACTCATTTGACGAGGTACTCCAATTAAAAAGTTATTATAAATAATAAAGCAGAACACCAAATTGATAGTTTATTGTTGCTTTTTTTTTAAATCATTGGAATTTACCAATCAACAAATCATTATGTGGCACAGAATTTAATGTAAATATTGCATGTGATGGGACAATTAATTAATTATTAAAAGCGCTCATCACCGCTAGTGAGAGCTGTCCCCATCTCCAGCCCTTATCTCTACTCTAGTGCGGACTTTACTCTATTTTAGAGTAGAGTTGAACATTCGTCTCCAACCCTTATCTCTACATTTTACTCTACATTAAATATATTATTTTTTATTTATTTTTTTATTTCAAATAAATTGGTATGTATGTATATTTAATCTTAAATTTGCTTATATTTTATTCTAATCAAATAAACTTGTTTGAGTTTGTTAAATTTTTATTCATATGGTATCATTTTAATATTAAAAAATTACAAAATAAAATTTTAATACATCAATAATAAAAAACACAAAATTATTTAGCATAAAAAATACATTACACAAAGTTATCAGTAAAAATATACATTTATTAATACACATTATACAAAAAATATCATTTAAAATACATAAAAAAAAAAAAATCTAGCGTTGCTACAGTGTTGCGCCACATCTGGCGCAACACTGTAGCAAACTGTGAAGTGATGCTAATTTTGACGCAGCATTGGAGCAAAAATTTCACACAACTCCAGCCATTTGCTCTAGAGTATTGCAGGGCTGGAGAAGCTCTTATACTCTTACGGTTAGAAAATAATTTAATTTTTTATTTTAATTTAATTATGCACAAAATATTATATGCAATTATATTAGACATCCAATTAATAAATGAATTCATTTAAATGATTTAAATAAAGTAGAGTTCGAAACTACGTAATTAATATGAGCCGATTGAGTATAAATTTTAATAATACTAGGGTTAAACGATACAAAAATTATTTTTTATGGTCCCAGATGAGGAAGGAAAATCATAAAACTGACTTTGTCCGTGATCAAGGACGTGCTCGTGATTCAAGTCGTGTTTACTTTGGACATAACGTTTTATTGTAATTTTGAATTTTATAGATTTATTTTACACGATCACTATTTAGTTATGATTCTCGTATATTAACGTTCTTGGATTATAACGATGATTTTCGCATAAGATTAAACTCTAACATATGGTATCAAAAGCCTTTTCATATTACGGGCCGACGAGCTGAAAGTTTTGCTGATTGAAGTTTTTCTAACGGAATTGCACTAATTGATAACAGAAGTTGAGCATGTTTTATTTGCTTACAAAGCCATGCCAAAATCGGTTCCATCATTTCGAACTGATCTGTTAGGTTGTCATGATTTGTTTCCCAATCATGTTCATGTTTTTCTTGATGTTGAAAGCAGTAATGATTCCCTACAGTTTTTGTTTATAAGATTAAAGCA